AGACAGACAGACAGACAGACAGACAGACAGACAGACAGACAGACAGACAGACAGATGCACAAACAGAAAGATACACAGACACACAGATGCATAGACACACATTTCAAGAACACTGACAAAAATTGCAGAAACAACAAGAAAATGATGATGATGATGAAGCTACTCATAACTTTTAACACACACACACACGTAATAATACATTTAACCTAATCAACTTTTGAAATTATTTAAAAAGCACGGTGGAAACACTAGACAAAAATTTACAGATATATTTATGTTTTGCCATTTTTTTCTTCTTTCTGAGTATACTCAAACTTAAATCTGTTTGAGTTTGAGTTTTTAAAGACATGAATATAAAAAGACAAAACTAGGAGCATGCCAACCTGTCGTGAGATCAAAAATGTGGAACAGGAGCTGCGGATGGTGGCTCATTTGGTCCCAGGCAGTATCTTGAGCTTCTAGCAAACCTTTCAGCATGCTTAAAGCAACATGCCTTTGGACACCCGATACAGACATATCGCCCATGATGTCGATCAAACACAATAGACACTGATTGTCTTTAGAAGGTCCAGGAACAATAAATGTCCACGAGGAATCGTGGCGGCAGTGCCCAGCATGTGGAAGCATCCTCACCCTTAAACAGAGCTGCTGAAATTAAGAATTTCAAATAGGAAGACATTTTTTTTTTAATATTCTAGATCTAGAATCATATCTAGACATTTTGCTGCAATTCTACATATTCAAATATTAAGAACAGAATATAGTCTATCTTCTATGATCAGATATTCCACTGCCTCATAGAAATATACACAAACATACACACAAGCATCTTATCAATCATGTGCTTTTTTTAAGGGGCAAAATGTTGGACAGAAAGGGAAAAGGCCAAAATGCCACACGCGCTCTGCAAAGAAAAGCGTAAAAATTTAAGAAAATTAAAATAGAATCTAGTCTAGTTGGACATCAGCGCCATTACTATTCGAATTTGAGCTACTATAATAATGTGTTATTTCTCTTCTGGCAGCTCTATCTAGAGCCTATAGATTCTCTTCTTGATGATGACAGTAAATGGCAGTGGTGTAGAGATGCTCTGCGTAAAAATACGAAACAGAAACAACCACATTCTACTAGAATTATCTAGTTCTAGATCTAGAACAAGAATCTAGATCTAGATTCTAGATCTAGAATCATATCTAATCTTGATTCTAGATTTAGATTATCGGCGATTTTGTAGTTTCGTTCGTTAAAGTCAAGAGTAGGGGGGTTTCAGCTGACCTAAAAAAAATATGGAGGTGGGGGGGTTCAGGGGGGCATGCCCCCCTGAATTTTATCCTAATTTGATGTTTTGCAGTTAGGTTGCACCCCTGCTCTTTGTGTAGCCTAATTCAAATAGTATTTGGTCTTCAAGACTTCTGGATTTCTTCTCTGGATGTAAACAAATGGATCGTGGACTTTAACGAACGGAACTACAAGATCACCAGATTATCTACTTTGAAAATTTAGAGAGGACAAGTCTCGTGCTGTGGGGGATAGGCGAAGTAAAGAGGACAGTAGAAGAATTTTTGTAAAACTTGGACTCTAGATGCTGTTGCCACACTCCTTTTTGAGAAAAACAATTTTGTCACAGTTACACTTACGCATAACACTAACAAACACAAACCTGGTGTCCTTGCAAAACCAAATTTACACCGCAGGAAAACTACGGAAGAAGTTCACGGAAGTACGTTTGTATTAGGATTAGCAGTAAAAAATATTTTTAAAAAGATGAAACCCCGCATGCTTACAGTGCAAATTACCTATCGCACAATAGCTAAGTTTATAATAGCCTTTGTCCTGACTGAATCAAAGAGGTGACTGATATAACCTGTGATTTTCTCATAGCCTCATTTGAATAGATCTTATATCTTTGCTCTTATTACCTTTCCAAATCATCTTAAAAAGTAACAACCAAGACAAAATAACCACCGAGAAGAGAGAGAGAGAGAGAGAGAGAGAGAGAGAGAGAGAGAGAGAAGTTGATCTTGCGAGAACTTCCGGGCGGGTGAGAAAGAGAGAGAAAGAGGGAAAGAGAGAGAGTGAGTGAGAGAGAGAGAGAGAGAGAGAGAGAGAGAGAGAGAGAGAGAGAGAGAGAGAGAGAGAGAGAGAGAGAGAGAGAGAGACAAAGAGAAAGAGAGAGGGAGGGAGGTATCCGAATGATCTCTTCCTTTATACATCTCATCATATCCACCCCCTTTTTTCATTCCACTTTTTAAAAAATGAATCACGCCCACCATCTTGCTCTGCGACAAAACCAACCTCAGTTCTCTCCCATCCTTAATTATGTTGAGCTTCGCGTTCATCAATCGTATCAAATACCATAGCAGTTCCCCTTGTTTTAATTATTTTGTTTTAAGCCATCGATGACAATTTTTTTTTTTAAGTTTGAAAATACGGAAGAAACCACTTTATTATTTGCCAACATCAGCTGCCTGAAATAAGACAGACAATTTTTAAAGTATTTTTTCTTTTAGGCTATATATATATATATATATATATATATATATATATATATATATAGGTCGAACCTGCCTTAACAGAAACCTGTGTAAAACGGAAACCTGTCTTAACGGAATCTACCCGCTCCCCCCCCCCCCCTTGATATATTCCTCTTTAATTACCCGTATAAAACGGAAACCTGTCCAACGCGGAAACGAAAAGAAAAATCCGCTCCCCTCTGAGGGTTTCACCTGTCTAAGACGGAAAATGCTTTGCCCGCTCAACCCTGATTTGAAACAAAACTCGCAAGTTTGATTCCGCCGGCTCTAAACTTAACGCCATGGCCATGCCGCTGTGCGAGGAAGGGGGGTAGGGGTGCAATGGGGGTAAAGTAGAAGTTACCCTATGTTGCCTCATCATGTGAGCACTGAGCGCTGCAGATGGTCAGTGTAGTGTGGGTGTGATATCTCACGACTGCCCGTGAGAGTGCTCGAGTAGCGAGCCACTACGGAAACTTTCCTGGGTACCCAGAAGCCAGAGGTGTGAAATTAGATTGACCAATGCCTGCCCCCCTGATCGTACGGCCAGCCGAGAAGAGTTCCTCGAATCGTTGTTACAATGATGACAGTGAGGGGTGGCATTGGTGGGTGGGACTAAGGGGGGAAGCAAAGGAGATGGTCAAACGTTTCTGGGGTTTTTTAATAGGTCAAACAGCGGTCCTATGAAAGGCAAGCACAGGTGGTAATTGGACAAGTAAGACTGACGCATGTCACTATCAGACAGGATAGCAGCTGAGAGGTGGGAAGTTTTGATCACTGCTTGCCGATCGGACAAGCGATCCTTGATTCCACCGGCTGGGCCTTTGAACCCCCCCCCCCCCCCTAAATTCCCCTGTCTAAGACGGAAAATGTCTAAGACGGAATTTTTCCCCGCTCCCTTGCGATTCCGTCTTACACTGGTTCGACTGTATACACATGTATTATTATATAGTGGCCTCTGTTGACTACTTTGTCAATATTCTATTATCATTATCTTTATTGTTGTTAGTGCTTTATCTTGGTCTTGGAGGATATCAAGCAACGAAGCCCCCACCTCCACCCCCCTTCCCACAGCTAGGCCTACTCCAACTAGCATAGCCTGATATACACGGTCATTTTGTAGGACGCGCTTTTAATTCTGAACAAGTGAAGGGTTTAAATTGAAATTGATACACACTGGCCTGGGTTCACTGACCGCCTTCTCATTTCACCGGTTGACCATGGTTCATCTTTCAGCCTTTATCACCAACCCCGGCTTCTCAAGTTGCTAGATAGGCCTAGATTCTAGATCTATATAATTTAATCTATACCAACCAACCAGTACCACAGTACGCTCGTACCACGATAATATCTCTTCTTTAGAGTCTGTAGGACACACGAATAGATAACCTGCTTTGTGCACAGTGCACAGCCAGTCGGTTCGGAGTGCTCCTTGGGTTCAAAGTTCAGCCGGGGTCGCTCAGGTGGATGAGTGGTCAACAATAACATTGGGAAAAGTAAGTAGCAGAGAACTGCTAGAATCTAGATCTAGATCTAGACCTTGTTGCAAGTCTTGACTATCTTGACTTCTGAATATTAAGCTAAGACTAATGTAGATCTAGACACTGTTGTCTACAAACATCGTTGTAAAAAAGACACTTTCCAAACGCAATTAGCACAGCAGAATCTTGTTCCTTGACATTGGATTGGGCAGTCAGGGCTATGGCTATGCAGCAGGAACCCCGTGCCGTAGAACCACCAGCCCTGTTGTTCCTCCAACTTCTTGCTTGTCCCAAAGGTGGCGGTATAACGAAGTTTGACTGTATACAATGTTGCAAACTGTATCATGCGCACTGCTTTAGTCACCATTGATCTTGATTTTTAAGCTTAATAACTACTGTGCAGGAGACCCACACACATTCTCACAAACAGAATTTGCTTTGCAGGAGTTGAATAATTGAGTGTCTCTAGACTTTTCTTTTTAAAATTATGGCCACCAATATAAAGGTAAGTAGACATCCTGCTGAACGGAATAAAGTTACTGCCATTTTGAATTGCTTGCTTTTAAATCGTTTCTCCTTGTTTCTGTTCCACAGAGAGAAGTCTGTTAGAAAAGCTCGAGTCTGTTGAAGAAAGTGACAAGATGTGGTTGATGATTGCTGCTATCGTGACGGGAATTGTCGGTTATTTGTTCATAAATCGCTTCCTTCGATCTCTCGATGTCGGAGATTATGGCAACAAATATGTGTTTATCACAGGCTGCGACACAGGCTTTGGGCAACGGTTGTCAGTGTAAGATTTAAAAAATTATCTTTTTAACATAAGTTCTTACAAATTTTATTCTCTTGCCTGCCTTGTTTTTTTAGCACGTGTATAGATCTAGACCAAAGTTCTTTTTTTTATGCAATGAAGGTACCATACTGATTTTTGTTTTGTTCTGAATTTTGTAAAGGTACAAAATGGTTTTAAAAGAAAGAAAAGAAAGAATTCTGATTAGAATTATGTTTTTACATGCTTGACTTTTCATTCAAGCTTTTTTGTGACGCTTTTAGGTATTCTTGCAAAAATTATAATCTCACTCTCAGTGTCCGGCATGTGAAAGGCAGCAGAAGTGTTTTTAATTCAATAAATGGAGGGAAAGTTGGGGTTTTTTGTGTTTTGTTAGGGTTTTTTTTTAAAATTTAGTTTGAAGTGTTGTGTAGGGCTTCTAAATTATTGTATTTATTTCCTTTAGAAGTGGAAATCCCAAATAAGATCAAATGTTTTAAAAAAGTAATACAGGTAATGGAAAGAATTACACTATGTTCTTTCAGATACATCATTGACCAATACAACATTGGTAGCTACTAACAGAAGCAGAGGATTTTAGCTGTTTGTTTATTATCTTCCAGACGGTTGAACAAGATGGGTTTTCATGTGATCTCTGGGTGCCTTACTCAGAAGGGGGCGGATACTTTGACACAGCTGTGCCCTGACAGGCTCTCAGCGCTGCTGCTTAATGTTGCTGATTCGGACAGCATTCAAAAAGCTTTCAAACGTGTGCAAGATTTATTGCCATCTGGAAAAGGTGGGTACTTTTTTTTTTTTAGATATCCTCTGAGTATATGACTGTTATTTTTCTATATTTTCTAGTTCTGTGCGTTTTAAAAGAAATCTTTTTCTATTCGGCCAGTTCTAGGTGTTAAAAAAAAATTAAAGTACAGTCTTACAGATTCTCGTGTGATAGTATAGTGTTTTTGGGGAACTGAGCTTTGACTAGCTGCCTTCTGATCAACAGTTTATTCCCCCCCCCCCCCCCACCCAAAAAAAAGAAATGCTGATCTGAATGGATAAATAAGAGTACCTTCAGCAAAGACATATTATATATGACTGCTTGAAAGAGGAGAAACTCTATGTTGCAGCAGAAAAAGAGCCTAACACACATGTAAATTATATGAGTTGCACTGAGGATTAAAGAAAACAGTCCCAATCCCCTTGCATTTACTTCTCTTATTTATTGCCAAAAGTTGTCAGTGCTTATCTGTTTGTCACTCCTCACTGTTGGCAGAGTGGTGGGTCAACTGCTAGGCAACAGCTGTGGCTGGTCTGGTAGAATTTTTAGACAGTTTTGATCCTGAAAACTTTTTTGATTAGATGGGATACCTGACAAATATGGACACTGTTTATTTTACTTGGAGTTCATCATCATCATCCGGTGCCTTGCTGACTTGCGTGAGCGATCATAGACCACCACTTCACTCTGTCTTGCGTTACAGCGATGGTGTCTGTCGTTCTTGCTGTTCCCAGCCATATTGTCAACTTGTCCAGTATCTTTTCCCTCTGTCTGCCTCTGCCTCTCTTTCCATCAAACTTGGCTGTTGTTACAATATTCTCCAATGTTTCTTTCCGCATTGTGTGTCTTATTAACTTTGCCTGTCACAAACTTGGAGTTAAAATAACCAAAACAGTGATCACACTTCGTGCCACCTGGTTCCAACGAGAGAATTTTCAATACATAACTGAGTATTCTTCACATACCAAAAATGAATAGAAGGATAGGGAGTGACAGAGAGAAGAGGAGTGAAGGGATGAAATTGTAGACATGGGCATGAGCTGTGCTGTGGCATCATCATGTCATGTTGGCGTATGACCTTTCCTGGTTTTTACCTGCCAGCTCCACCCATTCACTTGGAACACTGCCAGTGAAATAAATATGTGAGGCATTGTGGTGACATCAGGCATGCATCAAAATGATGAAATCAAAGAAATCGTCATTTCTTCTGGCAGATGGGCACTTTTTTTCTCATTTCTTTTTTTGGCTCAACACCTTTTATGGCCATTTAAAAACATATTTTTGTGTGAATTTTACTGCTGAACAATTTCTTAAATAATAATGTTCAAATGCTAGATACCTCATCAGTATTCTAACAGTATTTAGATAGTATTCTGTAATCACAGACCTAAAGGTCAAGAGAAATACTTTTGTTGCAAGATGATTAAGATGATAAGAGTTAAATGGATGAGGATAGAAATGGCTTCTGCGTCTTTTTTGTTACAAAACAAAAGCATAGGTCTTACACTTTTTACCAATGTTTTAATGGTTGGGAGCAAAGGGTGTTAGTTGTCTGAAAAGATGGACTGAAATGTGGAGTCTGCTTGAACTTTGTCAAAAGTTAGGTTGAATCAATACAGCAGTTTTAAGATATTGACTGACTTTTTAACTGATCTTGTGCCCCCATAAAAGCACTGAAAAATGGTGAAATGGTATAGATTTAACACTCTTGTCAACACTTAGGTTACTTAGTGGTGGGCATCTGAGTTTAACATCAATCTCCGAAAGGATCCAGCCAAATGGGAAATTCGTGAAAAGTGCCTTTCCCAAGGACACAACATTGGACCGAGCTAATGCTTGAACCCCCAAACCCGCAATCTCTTAATTACGGGTCCGGAAGCCGGAACATTAGGCCTTCAACGCCGTCAAAAAGGACTGAAATGGGACTGCTAAATGTTTAAATTTGTGTGGATAACACGTGCATCTTTGAGTTTGAGTATGCACGAGTGCATTGGTGTGTTGTTGTTAGTGTGCAAGGTGTACTGTTGTAGAGTCTGCTTTAACGGCCACTTGTCCAAGACAGTCACCAGTACAAGAGACCACACTCTCCCCCCTTCCCCCGCTCCCCTCTTGTGCTTATATTATCATATTGACCCTTTCCTAGACATTCTCCTGTCTAAGACAACCAATTTTTTCCCTTGATTTTATGTTGTTGTCTTAGAGAATTTCAACCGTATTTATTTCCTGCACAATTTTTCCAATCTCCAGAACATACAAGAATTGCATGACTAGCTTATGTAGCAGAATGGTTCGTGTTATTAGAATTTAAATCTTAATACTTTCGAAAGTGTGTCAATAGTTTTCGTATTTACTTTCACAAATGTGCCTGTATCTTCTTCTCTTTCAGGCCTATGGGCTGTCGTAAACAACGCAGGCATCAGCGGAAATCCTAGCTGTATTGAAATGTGCACGAAACAAGATTTTGTGGAAGCCATCGATATCAATCTGTACGGCCCTTTTGAGGTCTCAAGGACGTTCCTGCCTCTGCTCAGGAAGACCAGGGGCCGAGTCGTGTGCATCACGAGCATTATGGGAAGATACCCGGGTGTAGCGGCCCCGTACTGCGCCTCCAAATTTGGGCTGGAAGCTTTCTGTGACGTGTTGAGGTACTTGGTGTATTGAGTACATTTCTGTACGCATGTTGACTCGGACGGAATTCTTCTTTGTCTCTTCTTCCTCTTCTTCTTCCTCCTCCTCCTCCTTCTTCCCCTTCTTTTTTTCCTCCTTCTCTTTCTCCTGTCCTCCTCTTCTCTCCTACTCCTCCTCCTGTTTTGGGAACTAGAGTGGTTTATCTACATTTACACAAAACACTTTTAGACTTTTTGTGGCTGTAAAAATATTTACCTCCCATTTCTAATTATTGTATTTCACTAGATGCTCAGCATCAGGTCATTATAACTGACTGGTATTATGCGGTAATATTAAAATTTGTTACCCTTAATCAGTACAGCTGTATTCCTCTGCTGCTTTTATGTCAGATACTGCAAGACTGTTATTTTCACTTTTCTTCTCTCAACATAATGTTATGCCGTTTGTTTCTTACTTTAGGAGTTAAACACCTTACCAGGTGCATAGAGCATACTATACCCCCC